ATTATTTGTAATCTGTTCAAATGATCTAGCTGTCCCAGTCTCACTTACTACAAAGACCATTCTTTCCTCTACCCTGCATTGTCATCTTTGTCAAGAATTGACCGTCCATGTATAAACCGGTATAGTCTTTATACCAAAACTCGACTGAGGCAATAGAACAGAAAATTACTGGTCACTCACTTATGAACATATATGTAGAAATCATACTCAAAATATTAGAAAAATAATTGAGCAATATATTGGAAGGTAAGGTTTATCCCAGGAATACAAGGTTGGTTAAATAGGTTAAAATCAACCAGAAAAATCTATTGAGACCACCTCAGTTAATTCAGAAAAAAATTTTATAGAATTTTGTATCCCTTCAATATATCTGTGTGTTAAAACTCTTAGCAAACTAGAGCTAGAAAGGTATATCCCAATATAATATACAATATTTATACACACACACACACACACACACACACACACAAACCCTAAACGCTACATCTTGAAGAAGCATTGAAAGCATTCACTTTAAATTCACAAACACAACAGGGATTCTTGCCATCACCTCTTCTAGTCAACACTGTTAAGATTATCCTAGAAGTGCAATAAAAAGAAAGGTATAAGAATTGGCAATTAAGAAACAAACTATTCTTGTTTACTAATGATATGTTATGAATATAGACCTGAGACATAAACTATAAATAAGTTATTACAATGATAAAAGTGTCAAGGTGCTGAGTACATAATATACAAAAATCAGTTGTATTTCTCTAAAGGACATGAAACACCTTGACAGTGAAAAATTAAAATATATCAAAGTGTATTGTTAATATTTCTAACCTCCTCCCAGATAGTGCAAGGACATTAAGTCACTTTTAATGGAAAATTTACCAATGGAGTGAATGTCCCTAAGTAAAGGCTGTGCATGAATCATGGGTCTGCAGTTTTAACTTCTGCTCCAGTCTATCTTCTGACCTTGGTCAGTATGTCATTTTCTGCAATAATTTCTACAAAGAATAAGCCTGTGAAGACCCTAATGACTAACGGGGTTTGAACTATCCTCTAAAAAGTTCTTTAATAATTCCTTAGGAGACACTTCATCATTTAATTCCTCTTTTTCAGACCATTTCTTTCTTTTTTTTTTTTTTTTTATTCTCACCCAAGGACGTTTTTTGATATTTTGTTCAGATAGAGTGGGAGGGAGAGAGAGAGAGAGAAACATTGACGTGAAAGGGACACATTGAATGGCTGCCACTCACATGACCCAACCAGGGCTGGGGACAAACTGCAACCGAGGTACGTGCCCTTAGCGGGAACCGGACCTGAGTCTCTCCAGACCACAGGCCAATGCTCTAACCGCTGAGCCAAACTGGCCAGGGCCAGACCATTCTTTCAAAAGCCATCTAAACCTCCTCTCAATGATTGGTTTTGTTTCCTCCCTGTCTTTTCTCTTGTTGATGCCCCCTTTCCTTTATATGTCAAAAACATCATGCAGTTTCATTCTTGATAATTGAATAAGAGAATTAGATACTACTCCCTCCCAAATATTCTCTTGGTTTCTCAATAAAAGGGTTACACAGAATGCTCAGAATGAAGTCCTGATTTCCACATTTATCATCTCTATCAATACCATTATATTACATTGTTACAAAGTCAGTCTAAGGTTACTTGCACTCATTGCATGCCTATTGGTTTAGAGTACTGTTCTATGTATGGGTTGGGGAGAGCGCAGAGCAATTACCCTGCTTGGGGTAGGTATACTGCAGCCCAGCTTTTATTCAACTATAGCAGTTGAGTAATCACAGCATCTAATCACAGCAATTTAGGGATCTCTCACATCACCCCAAGTAATTCTTTCTAGTCAGTTGTGTGTAAAAAAAGTAATGCATCCTCTTCCTGATTGTTTACCTGTGCCCATGCCAATAATGATTTATTAGGCTTTTCTGGTTTCTTCCTATAAAATGTGCTATCTCACTCTGGCTGGTTTGACTCAGTGGTTGGAGCGTCGGCCCACACACAGAAGGGTAGTGGTTTCAATTTCCAGTCGAGGGCACATACCTGGGTTGCAGGTTTGATCCCTGGCCCCAGTCAAGGCACACATGGTAGGCAGTCAATCAGTGTATCTCTCTCACATTGATGTTTCTCTCTTTCTCCCTCTCTCTCCCTCTCCCTCCCCACCCTCCCTCCCTTTTTCCCTTCCAGTCTCTCTCAAAAAGCAATGGAAAAAATATCCTTCGGTGAAGATTAACAAAAACAAAAATAATGCCCTATCTCTTTCACAAAATACTCTCAGCACTCAAGTGTCCTCTGACCTTGTTTTCCATCTATCTATATTGTCTTTGGGGGTGACCCATAGCCTTCAGCTTATTACTTTCTAAGTGAATAATTTATCTTCCCAGAGATACTTATAAGCGTAAGCAAGCCTTCCAGTGAGAGAAAAAACTAATCTTAAGTCTTTTCTCTTGCCACGTTCTCCACTCTGAAAAGACTGGCATTTAGCAGAAACACTAGTAACAGCCAGAGAATGGCTACCTCCTGCTTCCTGTCAAGCCAGTAGCCACCTTCTCTGACTTTTAAGTTTTGCCATCTCATACCAAGGATGTATAAGCATCTAACCAAAGATTAGATCACATATGTTTTTTAGTCTCCTCCATTTTGGGGCCAAAACATGCCTTAGCCTTTGTGATTCATGGATCTGTATGCACCTTCCTCATACACTACTCTGAGCTAACATATTTTTCAAATCAGACTTCACAGAAACCTGATCACCCAGAATTACTCAGTATTAAGTTCCATTAATAATTTCAAAGATACAGGCAATTAAGAGACTCAGAAGAAGTAGAGAGCGATCTGGTATATACAGAGGGGCTTCTTATTATATGAATTAATAACCCTTGCACCTTACTTAGAGACCTGTCTACTCTGGGCCAGAGAGCACATGCCTAATGTAGGGAAAGAAAGGGCAAAGCAGTTGCCTTTAACATCCCAGACTTCTCCCTGATTTGTCTGCACCTCTTAATTTCCTGTATTTTTAAAATTATTTGTAAAGCCTGATACTGGGTATAATCTGTGTTTTGTGTGAGTCACGTTTGATAATCTGGTCCTTTGTATCCCCTCACCCACATACATATTCATTGTCTGTTATTCCTTCCCTTTTCCCTGATCATCCAGGGTAATTTTCCTTCTTCCTGAACTAATTCTTTAACATTTCCTTTATTATGCATTTATAGTTGTAGCCAAACAAAATGGTGTTCATTGGTTCTAAAATATATTTTAACTTGATTCTTGGAGGTATTTGTCTCTGCATATAGAATTCTTGGTTGGCAGTGATACTGCTCTAGCATAGTAATCAGTAAACTCAGCCATGGACTAAGCTGCCTGTTTTTGTAAATGAAGTTGGGACATAATGATACCCTTTGTTTACATATTGTCTACTGCTGCTATCATACAACAATAGCAATTGAATAGTTGTAACAGAAACCATGTGGCCTACAAGTCTAAAATATTTATTATATGGCAATTGAAGAAAAAGTTTGCCCACCCCTGCTCTAGTTTATTGATAGTATTCTTCCACTACCTTCTGGCTTCCTTTGTTGCTGTCAAGAAGTTGCCAGTCAGAATAATTATTATTTCATTGAAGGTAATCTGCTTTTGTGAAGATTCTCTCTTTGTTTTTGATTTTCTCAAGTTATACTATAATGCTTGTTTTTAAAAAAAAAAAAAATTGGTCTTTTTGAGGTTTATTGGATTTCTTTCACCCATGGCTTAATGCTTTTTATCAGTTTTAGAAAATTCTCATCCTTTATCAACAATATTTTTTCTGTCCTTTTTATTCTCTTTCTCTGTGACCCCATTTAATTCTGTATTATATCTTCTCCTTATAGTCTTTGTATTAGCTATGCTTCTGTAGCATTCTAAAGCAGGGCTTGGCAAACCCATCCTGTAAATGGACAGTAAATAGTAATGGTAACATAGTAAATATTTTGAGCTTTGTGGGACACCTGTAGTCTCTGTTACTTCTGATGTTGATACTTTTTTTTTCTTCTTTCTTAACAACCTATGGGCTGTACAAAACTGGGCCATAGGCTACCAGGCCGTAATTTTCCAGTCCCTGGTCTAAAGACCCATTGAAAAAGACAGAGATTATTAGACTGGGTAAAAAATACGACCCAGCTATTTTCTGTCTTTAAAAAATCCAGTTTAAATATAAAGTAACATCCCTGGCCAGTTTTGTTCAGTGGTTAGAGCATTGGACCACAGCCCGAAGGGTTGCTGGTTCGATTCCTAGTCAAGGGCATCAGGTTTGATCCCTGGCCCTGTGCAGGAGGCAGCCAATCGATGTGTCTCTCTTACATCAATGTTTTTCTCCCTCCCTGTCTCTTTTTCGTTCTATCTGAAACTCAATGGAAAAATATCCTTGGGTGAAGGTTAACAACAACAACAACAAAACAATAATAATAAAAAATAAAAATAAAACATGCTTTTGTTGTCTAGTCTTTCTCCATTCCTCCCTTTAAAAAAAAAAAAAAAGACCTAGTAACTTTATTGACATGTGTTCTTGATAAAATTTGAATTTCTTTTCAGAATGTAGATTTTTGTTAAGCCTCACCCGAGGATATGTTTTTATTGATTTTGAGAGGGAGAGAGAGAGAGAAACATTGATGTGAGAGAAACATTGATTTGTTGCCTCCTGTACAAACCACAACCTAGGTATGTGCCCTGACCAGGAATCAAACCCACAGCCTTTTGGTGTATGGGACATCGCTCCAAACAACCACCTGGCAGGCCAGGGCTCAGGATAAAGTTTTAAATATTGGTTCAGTGTATTACAATATTAACTAAATAATCATGGGCATTCATGAAGTAACCAAAAAGTAATTATATGCCCAGGAAATAAACTGTGAATGTACTTTCAGTTCCACAAAATAATTTGAACCATTAACAAGAAACTGTAATTTGACTAGTTTTCAGAATCTGTTTAATATACTAATTTAATTCATTATGATAATTTTCAGACTAAATAGACTTGAAGATACTATCATACTAATTAAAGGAAGGATTGAAGAAGTTCGTCTTCCTGTAGAAAAAGTGGATGTTATTATATCCGAGTGGATGGTAAGTATTTAAGTATTTGTAGAAAAAGTACTTTTATTGGTTTAAAACAAACAAACAATGAATTAGGTAGCATTTTTTCTACATTTAATTATATTTGATAAGTGGCAGAATGGTGGCATTATTTTATTTTTTATTATTTTTTTGTTCAGATAGAGTGGGAGGGAGGGAGAGAGAGAGCGCGCGACAAAGAGAAACATCGACATGAAAGGGACACATTGAGTAGTTGCCACCAGCATGACCCAACCAGGGCCGGGGACAAACTGCAACCGAGGTACGTGCCCTTAGCGGAACCCGAACCTGGGTCTCTCTGGACCACAGGCGTACGCTCTAACCGCTGAGCCAGACCAGCCAGGGCTGATGGCGTTATTTTAAAAACAGCTCTAATTTTTCTTGATTCTGAAATGGCACTTATTTACTAGACATTCATAATCTTTTAAAAAATATATATATTAATTTTTTTTCAAAGTCATAGTAAATAAATACTGTATTATTTTTCTACTTTCTAAATTTTAGAGACCTAAATATGTTTGCCTAAAAGCCTCCAAAGAGTGCTAAGGCCATATTAGGACTGTTTTGTCAAAATTACCATGATGTTGCTTATATTGCTATAAAAGATAGGACATATTGAATGTTCTATCTTTCTGATCTGTTAGGCCATGTTATCATTGTTTTTTTTCCACATTGACATTATTAAAATAATGAAATTAAGGTACACTATATAGGTTTATAATTTACATTTGAAATCATAAGTCAAAACAATATTTATTTAATTTTAAATGTATATGAAGTAAAATTAATGGTATTTGCCAACTGATTTGACTTATTGATACGGCAATTCACTGAAGACAAGGTAGATAGTATTTCTAGATAGATACATTTTTAACCATTTGGAAAGTTTTAAGCTTTTTAAAAAAACTATTTGATATATATATTTTCATTAACTGAATTTATTTTAAAATAGAAAAAAATCTGTTTTACTTTATAATTACAAATTTTGAATAAATACAATAATAATTCTAGCCAAATAGCTGGGATTTCAAGGAGATTTTGAAATGTTCAGATTTTATGTAGTGTTAAGTTCCAGTCTGGAGCCAGTGACAGTCATCATTGTTGTTCTTTTGTACATGAAACAGTGTGTTGATTTTTTAATTCTAAGGTTGGCTTTTAACAGTTTTTAATCACATTGTCATTATTCTTTTTATACCTAAGAATTGGTATCAGCACTCTGATTCCCCTTATGAATTGAGTGAGGAGGTATGAATTTAGTTGTATGTAATTAAAAATCTAACATTCCCTCCTGGCTCAGTGAATTGAGCGTCATCCCATGGACTGAGAGGTCCCAGTTCTGTTCTCTGTCCGGCCACATGCCTGGGTTGTGGGTTTGATCCCCAGTGGGGGTTGTGCAGGAGGAAGTTGATCAGTGTTTCTCTCTCACATCCATGTTTCTATCTCTCTCTCCCTTGCTCTCTAAAAAAAAAATAAAAACATAAAATACAACATCCCTTTGAGGACTACAGAAAAGTGCTTTGGAGAAAGCACATATGAGGCATTTACTTGGCAACCGTTTAAAATAGTTCATACTAAATGTTGGCTGTCATGATCTTTATTTTTCTAGCAACTATTTTTCTTGGAAAATGCCTTTTTAAAATTACTTCAGTTAGCCCTGGCCGGTGTTTAGAGTGTTGGCCCATAGACTGAAAGGTCGCAGGTTTGATTTCCAGTCAGGGGCATGTACCTGGGTTATAGGTTTGATCCTCAGCCCTTGTCAGGGTTGTGCAGGAGGCAGCCAATCAATGTGTCTCTCTCACATTGATGATTCTCCCTCTCTCTCTTCCTCCCTTTCTCTGTCCCTCCCTCAGTCCCTCCTCCCTCTGTACCCCTCTCTTCCTTCCACTCTATGTAATAAAACCAATGGAAAAATATCTTTGGGTGAGGATTAACAAAACAAAAAAAAATTACTCCAATTACACTGTAATAAGAAAACTATAAGACAGACTTGACTAAACTTTCATTCACCTGAGTTGAATATTTTTAAATAACTGATTATAACTAGTTCAGTAATTCTTAATCTGCCTAGCAGAATTATACTTCTGGATATTGATGTTCTAGTAATTTTTGCTTTAGAATCTGAAAGATGATCTAGAAGTATTAATATGCAATTGAAATGTTAGAACCAATTGGTATAATAAAAAATTAGCAGGATTGAGTGAATTTATAATATTGTCACATTTGTGATGTGAACTTCATTGAAAGATGTGCTAGTCTTGGGCTTCTTTGCTCTCAGATCCATTTTATACCCTTCTGCTTTTTTCTTGGCTGAAGGAGGGCTCACTCTGCAGGCTACTTTTTCTAGGTTCTATTGACAGCCAACTTCCACTGTGTTTGGGGAACCCATTGGGAGATTTAAGGGAGGAGAAGCCAGGGCATTTCTTCAGTTGTCTTTCTCCGTGGGGTTGTTGGCAGAACTATTTCTTTTGCGGCTCCAGTTCCCACTTATGACAGTACAGGCCTGTCATAGTTACAGCATCCACTGCGTGGCCCTGGCTCTTGCAGCAGTACCTCTTTGGTCTCTCGAGCCTAGGAGTAGTAGTTACTTCCTGGTGTTGCTAATACCCAGTTGTCTCATTCCTCTTGATGACTTCTCACATCCTTTACTCTTTGTGTAACCACTTCCTGTGTTAATTTTTCTCTTTCCATAGCCTATGGTTTCTTTCTCCTAGTTAGACTAATTAACATAAAGGGCACCTTTCATTTTGGAGGATTGGTCAAGTATGATCTCTGCCTTTATCAAGAAGGCTTTGTAACACAAGCAATACTGAGTCACTGGAACCTGTAATGAAAGGAGCTAGTTGTTTGGAACCAAGGTGCTTTCAGAAGCCCTTTACTAAGGGAAACAAATCAGTGTCCAGGAAGTGATAACTAAGAACTTTCCTTTGACCTCTTCACAGAGGTATAACTTGAGAATTTGCATTGTCTTACTGTCTGCCTTTCCTTTTAAGCATTGGGGACTTAAGTCTAGCAGATTGTGTTAAAGACATCAAGTGGGGCATTAGACACTGTAATACATGGCATTTACTCTAAGGCAACAAACTCTCGATGATCTTATTTCTGTAATGAAATTTGCATTTAAGCTTTTAATGAGGCTTGAGCTAAAAGTTTTATGTCATCTTTATGGTGTGGCTATGTCATTTATAGTATGTTCTAAGTCCTGTAGGTCATCCCCTCCTAATTTTGGAACTTCCACTGAGATTTCTAAGCTAAGAAGCTGAAAATTTTCAATTACATAATTAATCAAGGAGCAGGTATGCTTTCTAAAATATATCCAGTGGTTTTTAGACATTTCTGCTTTGGCTGAAACAATGAGCCTGCCATAGGCCACATTTGAAACTAGTGGATGTTGAAATGTTTTTGTTGCTTTTAGTTTGGTCTGGTTGTGAAGCCAGGCATTTTTCAGCCCACTGTCATGAGGATAGGTGGCCTTTCCTGATCTGTTTTCTTGCCTTAAATGATATAATAAGGATTATATAAGTAGTTTAGTAAGTTAGATAAGCCGAATTAGTCTTAGAGTCGAGAAAAGTATAGTAGATTAATTAACAACACAGATTTTCTGTTGTACAGGTGCATTTTTGCATTTCCTTGACAAGAAATAGGCTTCTGACTCGAATTTAAGGATTTTTTTAAATGCATATATATATATATATTTTACTCTGAAAATGTTAAGCTAAATAAAATTGTACATGTTTAGTATGTATTGTTTTATTTACTGAAAACATTTTCTGAAATAATCTCATGTTGTATCCAGTGGTTCAAGATAAGGAAATGTAAGGCATACTTCTTCCCAACTCTATATACCTCCTGCCATTTTTGCCTTGCATTTCTCATTCCTTTGTTGTTCCATTAAAGAAAAAGACATCTTTTCACTACAACTTTTCTTATATTAAAAAAGTCAATAACAATTTAAAAATCAAATAAATTATATAAAATTAACTGTCAATGTTCCTTTGATGACAAAGATGACTGTGGTTTTAATGTCTTCATTTTTATTTTTATAGTCATATTTATATTAGTATTTTGGGGGCAGAAATAGTTTTTCCTTAATGGATGGTACTGGATTAGTGTGAGCGAAATATATGTTAGCAAATTTGTTATTTCTCTTAATGTGTTTTACCTTCCCAATCTGGCAAACTCCTAGTGGTTTTGTAAGACTTACCTCATACATCCCTTCCCTAGTTTAAGAGAACTAAGAGTCCTAACATTTAAAGATCATTTTGGCTTTCTCTTTGGTGATATTTCTGTTAATTTTTTTTGTTTATTATATTTGTGATTTTTATCTTTTTATTATTTTTCTGAAAGAGTTTCTTATTTATTCCTGTTACAGATCTGTTATTAGGACTCTTCTCTGTTTCTTCCTGTTTCTGGGCACATAATAGAACTTAACTCTGTTCCCTTTGAAGGTAGATGTAGCCTTCTGACTTGCCTGCCTCTCTGGGTAATGATAATAAGCAACACCTCTTCTCAACCTGTAATACCAGAAATAAATCTTTCTTTTTTTTTAATCTTCATTGTTGAATGTAAAATGTATTACAGATATTCCACATTTTTCCTCCATTGACCCCCTTCTCCCCACTCCCGCCCCCCTCCCACCTTTTCCCACACTATTGTCTATGTCCATTTGTTATGCATATAAGTTCTTTGGTTTATTTCTTGCCACACCCCTCCCCCCCCAACCCCTTTCCCTTTGAGGTTCTTCAGTCTAGCAATGAATTTGTACTTCTTAATCCCTTCACCCTTTTCACCCATTCCCCTACCCCCCCCCCAATCTGGCAACCAACAAAATGTTCTCTGTATCTATGAGAATGTTTCTCTGTATCTATGAGACAATCTACAGAATGTCTGCCTGTTCATTTTGTTTGTAGATTCCATTGTCGATAGATATGTATTCATTGCCATTTTGTTTGTTCATATATTTTATCTTTTTCTTCAAAAAGACCCTTCATCAT